TGGGCCAGTTGGGGTCTGACCGCCAGAGAGGAAGGGGGGGCCTCCGTTGCCTCTGACTGCCTCTGCTTGTAGGATGCTGGCTAGACAATGCCTCCCTCCCTCACGGCACAGCCCCCAACTGGGCCCACTGCCCCCCCAACTCATCCTCCCACCAGTTAACACACTGTTTCCCAAACCTGACAATTTAAGATTCCAGATTAGACAGCATTGAATCACTCGGGAAGCAAATCAGTCCTTTTCCAATTCTCCCGTCCTTGGGATTCCAAGTCTCATTGTGGCCTTGCTCAGCCTTGAACACCTAGCACTTTTTATCCAGGGGAGAACTGACTCCAGCTTGGGTGGCTGGCTGGTTAGCGACACCTCTGTCCTCAGCGTCCTATCCGTTTACATGGATATGTGCTATTTATTGAAGTAACATTGGTTTGAGATATACAATAGTGATAGAAGATTTCTAGGTTAAAATAAACTTATTTAGGTTTAAATCTGGAGTTGATGGCAAAAAATATTTGTTAAAAAGTCATATGTGCATAAAGGGCAAATCAGATCACATCCTTTTATACTTAAAACTCTCCGATGATTTCTCATTTCCCTTGGGTTAATTCCAAGCCCTTATGTGATCTGTGTTTCCTGACAACTGCCAACCTCTCCAGCTCCAGCTCCTCCACATTCCCCCTCTCTCGGTAATCTCCTCCAGCAGGTCAACCACATTCCTGCCTCAGGGCCTTTGCACCTGCTGTTCCCTGGCCTGGAATGTTCTTTTCCCTGATCTCAGCATTCCCAGATCATCTTGGCATTTAGATCTCGGCTCAGATGCTCTCAGAGGCCCTGCCTGGGTCCCCATCCTGGTCACTCTGGGTCTTCTTTGCTTTATTGCCCTCGTTGCACATATTCCTTTCTGATATTTTAAAAATGTACTTACTCATTTGTCTATTTTCCCCATGAGAATCTAAACTCTTTGAAATCCGGGGCTTGGTCTCATATCCTCAGTGGCTGAAAACAGTGCCCAACATGCAGGAGGAGCTCAACAGATGAACGGCAAGAACTGTCACGGCAGAGGGAAAACGGGCCCTGCAGCAGAGAGGAGCTGAACCAAGCTCCAACATCTGAGACGAAGCAAGATGGCGGCCCTCAGAGGCTCAGCCCGAGGGAGCTCCCGCCTCGGCCTCATCAGCCCCAGCATTCCAGGCACTGAGCCAACTGGCTCTCACCCACTGAGCCGGCAGAGAAAGCCAAGTCAGCAAGCACAGGCGTAGGAGGAACGATGGAGTTCTAACATCCTCATTAGAGCCGGTCAATATAACTGATTGAGTCCAGAATCAGCAATAATGTTACAACTAGTGGGTAAAGCTTCAAAGGGGACCAAAATATTTACAAATTCTCAAAGAATCTCCCCCGAGATAAATATTGATTCAAAAGAGAAAGAGTGACTTTACCCCGCAAAAATCACCTTAGCCGAGCAATCAAGGTTAGACCACCAGTAATGGGGAGGCTGACCCCACCGGCCTTTTGTTTCTCAAAGATTGGCACCTGAGCTAACATCTGTTGCCAATCTTCTTTTTTTGTCTTCTTCTCCCCAAAGCCCCCCAGGACATAGTTGTACGTCCTTCTAGTTCCTCTATGTGGGACGCCAGTCCAGCATGTCCTGAGAAGCGGTGCCACGTCCGCGCCCAGGATCCGAACTGGAGACACCCTGGACCGCCGAAGCGGAGCGTGGGAACTTAACCACTCGGCTGCAGGGCACTCGACCACGGGGCCAGCACCTAAGTGGAATTTTCTTTTGCCTTAAAGGACGTTATTGAAACTGGCAAAATCAGGAAAAGGCCTGTAGATTACCTAATGGTATTGTGTCGGTGTTAATTACCTGATTTTGATAAGCCTACTGTGGTTCTGTAAGAGAATGACCTTCGTTGTTTTGAAAAAGACACAATGAAGTATTTAGAGGAAAGAGACGTTATGTCTACAACCCACTTGCAAACAATTCAGGAAAAAAGTAATAGAAAAACAGAGAAAATGATACAGCAATTGGGGTAACCTGTTAGCATTGGGGAAGCTGAGTGAGGAGCATATGGGACTTGCAACTTCTCAGTAAGTCTGAAATGATGTTGAAATAAAATGTTGAAAAAAGAAAAAAAGCAGAGAAAAGGAAGGCAGCAGCTGAGGACCCGGGAGCTGCAGAGACGGTGCAGGCAGCGTGGCTGCTGGAAGCCAGCTCCTTCTCTCACTAAGCTGACATTTCAGAGACCAATCAGGGTCACCTGTGGTCACCTCAGGTCGCATCAGACCACAGCCCTCCGCTGCCATCTCCCCATTGCTGCGGGGAGCTGAGGACACACCTGGCTTGCACAGGGGCCCCTCCACGCCCTTTTGGGTCGTGCAAAAAGACACCCCGGGCACGGTCTGCAGATGCGGCTTCTCACCCCTCTTTGTGACCTTGGGCATCCCCCTCCCCACTCTGCACCTCAGTTTCTTCCTCTGAAAAGTAGGAGCAGATGACCAGCAGCTCTCTGCGGTTTCTTCCAGTATTTATCAGATAAATACTGTCATGATATTTTTAGAATCTTCTCTGGGGAGTGCAACACATTTCTCCAAGGAGCTTAATTCATTTGGCCAGTGTGTCTAGTTTAGTTTAGCCACAGGAAGGAGAGAAAACAAGTCTTACAGAGCAGAGTGGTGCCTGGACCTCCTCCCCATCCAAGGAATGCCCCCCCCCCCACCCCCACCTCTGTCCCTGGCCAAGCTCAGTTTCCAGGTACCGTTCCCAGAACAGGAACATCTCAGCAAAAGAGTATACTGAAGCGTAGATAAAATCCTCCGCCCAAACTGCATTCAGAAAGAGGCAGCTGGTGGGGGTGAGTTGGACCAGGAGATGACTCTGGTCTCAGTTTTGCCAGCAACTGGCTGCTCGGCTCAAGCTCTCTGAGCATCAGTTTGCCCTTCTGTAAAATGGACAGAGCCATGCCTGGCTCTCTGCGGGGCTGTGAGGACACAGGGACTTCACCTCTTCCTCCTCCCGGGCTCAGGGCTCAGTAGGTGACTTCCAAGTTGGGAGCAGAGTGCTCAGATGGGATCCCCAAGACACCTTGAGAAGCGCCCAGCTCTGAGGCTCCTCCTGTCTCACACAGCCTGTGTCCCCACACTGCCCTGGTCCCCGGCCCCATGCACAGACTCCATTGGCATCTGCTGGCATTGCCCAAAGAGCCCAGCCTGGCTCAAGGTCATGGAGGAGGGGTGGGGGGTGGCATGGGAATTCATAGGTTGGACCTTCTACCCTGCCCTGCCAGTGCACAGTGGAGACCCAGGGGCACCCTCCTCGCAGGGCAAAGCAAAGAGATCAATTTCCCAAGATGGGGCTTCAGTCCAGCATCTCCGAAGGGCACCACAGCTTCCTCTTCAGCCCATCAGCCCTGCCTCCCTGCCCAGGATGGCCTCCCGGAGGCTCTCTCAGCTGCCATTTTGAGGCTGAAGGCAGTCGGGCCACAGGAGTCCACAAAATGGCGGGCGGAAACCTAGGTTTCTTTTCTTCTCCCTCTGCTGTCCCCGTGAGCTCCTGCCCCGGCCCCAAACCCAGCAGTAGTTGTGGCCAAGGAGCTGTTTAGCACCCTAAGAAGGCCTGTATCTCCCCGAGTACTTCACAGACAACATCTCATGGCGCCTCATCCCAACCCTGGGCTCTGGAGGTTACCATTGACCCTGCTTTATGGCTGGGGAAACTGAGGCTCCGAGTGCATGCTTGGGCAGAAAGTGGCTTCCGACCCCGGAGCACCTTTGAGATTTTTTCCCCCAGGTTCCACGACAGCCCTGCTGATGATGGGCGAGGTGAAAAGTTCCCAGAGAATGGGGAGACCTTTCCTGCAGAAATCTTGAGGTGGGTGGGGTCCCCACTCTGCCCATTTTCAATGGATTTGGACTCCTAAGACCAAAGTAGAGCTCTATGAGCTGTGTGTCTATTAGCTGGTCAATCTAGGAAAAGTCACTTTGCCTCTCCGAGCCTCAGTGGCTCAATCAGGAAAATGGGGGTCATAATTTGCACTTCATAGGGCTGCGATGAGGAAAAGGCAGGTTCATGAGTTCACGTGGTGCTGCCCGGGAGGCCATTCTCCTTGTGATTGCCCAGCTAACATTTGTAAATGACGTTTTGTGTGCACACCTTCTTCAGGCCAGTCGCTGTGCTTGGCATTTTCCTATAAGCTCCTCGAATCCTCCTGATGCCACAGTCTGGATGAGTCAGGAAAAGAAAACAGCCTGGACCTACCTCAGCTCCTTTGGGAATTGTGGCCCCACCCACCCAACATGCCCTGGGTGGGCGGGCGTGGAATGGCTGGTCAGCACTTCCCGGCAGCCAGCCCCTCTGGGGCTTGCACCTTGCCTGTCTCATCTCCAGACTTCTGCTCAGATGGGTCCTTTTGCCTGAAATGCCTTTTTTTTCCCTTTGCTTTTTATTTGGAAATTATAGACGACGAGAAATTGCAAAAATAGCACAGGGAAGTCCCGTGCACCCAGCTTCCCCTGATGGTGACTTCTTATGTAACCAGAGTAAATGACCAAAACCGGGAAGTTGATATGGGCACATCACCAGTAGACTATCTTCCCAGTTTTGCATACACTCATTTTTTTTAAATGTCTTGGTGCCTAGGACGTTTCTGCTGTCCTTCTCTGTAGGCAAAGCCTCTCGTCCTCCACGTCCAGCCCCTCTGAGACAGCGACGCCCCCTCTTCAAGAAACTCAAGCTCACTCTCCTTTGACTCCCAGCTCCAGAGGGAGTGCAGCCCAGGGATGGGGAATATGGGTTTTGGAGACCTACACATACGGATTCAAACTCAGCATCGGCCACCAGCCTCGGACAAAATACAGAGCTTCAGTTGCCCCACCTGTAAAATGGGGTCAATTGCCCTAATGTCGGAGTGGGACAGGATGAGCATAGCTGATGCTCGGCAAATGGCGAGTCCCCTGCGATGGATGGTGGCTGTGGTTGTCATCAGATTGCATCTGTTGTCACGCCCATCCCAGGCTGACTCGTAGGGTTTCACCACCTTCTTCACCTTTATGTCTCATATCTCTGTGCACGGGGCCTGGCATACAGCAGGTGCTGAATAAATGTGACTAGATGGAGCCCCCTGCCAGGCCAGCTTTCCCGTGGCTCATGGGGCCTCTTTAACTGCACCCTCGTTGACTCCTAGCCTGGGTGGGCAGGGTAAGTGCAGGGCCAACCCCATGAAGACTGGGCCACATTGAATGCCCTCTGTCTCTGAGAAGTCTCCCAGCGGCCCCAGGACCCAGAGGCCCCTCAGAGCCGTCCCTGGAGGCGGTGGTGAGGCTGCAAGCCCAGAGGGTGTAACATCTGGAGATGCCCCATGTGTGAATGGAGCCCCGAGGGCAGCCAGCCAGGAGACGAGCCAGGCCACTTTTTTTCTGGTAGAAAGAGCACTGAGCTGCCAGTCAGGAGACCTAAGCTCAAAGCTTGGCACTAACTAGCCGCACACTTTGACAGGTCTCTCAGCCTTGCTAACCCTGGGTTTTCTCATCTATACAATGGGGTCATCATGTGGGTAAACGAGCTCATTGTGCAAACAGCCATATGTTAACCACGAAATCCTGTATTCACACAGACGAGATCTTTGTCCTCGCTGTGCAACATTTATAAGCTAACATTTTGAGCGCTGCTATGTTCGGGCATTTTCAGATGCGTTGTCTAATTAATTTCCAGAACTTGGTGAGCTGGGTGTTTTTATCTCTAGCATGCAGGCACAGAGAAGCTAAGAAACAAGCCCTGGGTCACACAGAGCCGGGATTGGAACCCAAGTCCGCCTGACGCCAGGGTCCATGATTCCACACAGCAGGACACAAGCTGGGTTACCATGCTGTGTGCATCCTAGGGCTATTTTCTAACAGCTGGCTCTCGGCTCCTCCCAGCCAGCTGTCCCACGCCACAACCAGTCAAGTCTCGAGGAACATACCGAGATGACAAAGCCTGGCTCTTTAGTGTTCAATTCGCCCATTTTTCCCGTGAAGAAATGACGGCCAGAGAAAGGAAAGACGCTGCCCAAGATCACCCAGCAAGCTAGAGCCAGAGCGAGTCCTGAAAATCCTTCCCCACCTCGCCTCTCCTCGGGGTTCCTTCTCCTGCCCGCAATGCAGGGGCTCCGTTCCCACAGCTGAAGCGGGGGACATGAGTTTGGGCACCATCCCCGACTTGAAGGCTCAGGAAAATCCAGGGGCTGCTCAGGGGGCCTGGGGATAGCCTGATACACAGCCCTCAGGTCCAGGTCGTCCCCACAGAAGGGGAGCAGGTGGCTTCCCCAAGCTGTGTCCCGTAAGGAGGGCAGACTGTCCACCCCCATTGTCCTCCCTCTGGATCAGTGTTTCCAGAGTGTGGAGCACACACCCAAAGGTTCGAGAAACCACTCAGGTGGTCACTGACATGGCACCAAATTACACGACAAAAATTGTGCCACTCCACTCCCCTTTCAGGCTCCTGGATTACTTGGAGGAGGAATCTCCCAGGGGGCTGGTCCTCACGCACCTACAACCCTCCCGTCTGGGCACAGAGGAAGCAGCAAGCATCGGGCTAGAATGGAATGATATTGTTTTCTTTCCATTAGGTTTATTTTCACCATTATTATCATTACGGTGATTTATAATGGTTTCCCTTTAAGGGAGCAATATAAAGTCTTTTCTAAAAATAATGTATTTACACTTTAAAAAATCAATTAAGAGGGGCCGGCCCGGTGGCGCAGAGGTTAAGTGCACACGTTCCGCTTCGGCAACCTGGGGTTCACAGGTTCGGATCCCGGGTGCGGACATGGCACTGCTTGGCAAGCCATGCTGTGGTAGGCATCCCACGTATAAAGTAGAGGAAGATGGGCACGGATGTTAGCTCAGGGCTAATCTTCCTCAAAAAAAAAAAAAAAGCTAGAAAGAGGATGCGGTCAGTTGTCAGGTAGATGGCAGCTTTAGCAAACACTGGGAAGGGACAGGAATGAGGGATGCTGGGAAGTTCAACTCTGGGTAACTCGCTTTGCCCCGACCTGGCTGGGGGGGACTGGGGGGTGGACAGGTGCTGAGGGTGGGATGGAGGGTCTGGGGAACCCTGGGCCTTGGGAAACAGACCGCGGTCTGCTCAGCACAGGGCTGAGCACCAGGCGTGGGAGTTAGTTGGTGGTTTCACGGCTGTGGTCCAGGCGGGGTTGGGGTGGGAGGGGTCTTTTCCTCCAAGCCCGTGTCCCAAAGTCTCAGCTGGAGCCACCTGCACATTCCTCCTTGTCTCAAGGAGAAGGCTGATTCTTCAGCCTCAGAATCTGACGGCTAGGGGCCCAATTTAATTCCTGAGCTTTCCTATAAGAAAATGAAGCTAGAGCGAAGCCGGCCTTGATAAGCGCAGGCGAATGAGAGAGGCCGTGGGCATCGTTTCTCACTCCTTCTAGATCCCTCTGTAATCATCTATGTGAATGACAGTCCCAGCGCCCTAGGAGCTGCTTTGTCCCACATGACCACTATGGTGACAGCCATGATAAATGTCCCCTCCAGTCACTGCCCTGTGACCAGGGAGCTAGATTAAGCCAAGAGAAAAATGCAGATGCCTGTCGTATATTACTTATACATCTTATGAGATATAGTCTTGCCAGGCAAGAAGAATGTGAAAAAAAAAGAAAAAAGAGGAAGGGCCAGCCCCGTGGCCATGTGGTTAAGTTCTCACGCTCCACTTAGACGGCCCAGGGTTTCACTGGTTCGGATCCTGGGGGCGGACATGGCACCTCTCATCAGGCCATGCTGAGGCGGCGTCCCACACAGCACAACCAGAGGCACTCACAACTAGAATATACAACTAAGTACTGGGGGTCCTTTGGGGAAAAGAAGAAGGAAAAAAAAGAAGATTGGCAACAGATGTTAGCTCAGGTGCCAATCTAAAAAGAAAAGGAAGAAGAGGAATAGAGTAGTAAACGCGTTTGTTTGATTTAATCTAATCAAGTGGGGAAGCCCCCTGGGTTGGGAGGAGACAGAGGATTATGTTTGCATGACTCGGACCCAGAGGCCGTGGGTCGAGGGACCAGCCCCATCAGAGGCCATGGGCGACCAAAGAGGGCCCTGCATGTGGTCAGCAGCACAACAAAACCATATCTTATATTTTGGCAAAAGAAAAAACAGGCAGACCTCATCTCAGTCCACAGAGATGGAAATCCAACCCGCTCTGGATAACCCAAGTTACTCGCAATGGTACAATTCTTTTCTCCTTGGTACGTGGCTTGTAAGCCCAGGAAGATTAGAATTTAAAAAATAAGAGATGATGAAATAAACAAAAACCCATAGTATTTGTACATTTGCGTTAAGATGGGTCAAGTTCTGTGTCAGTTTATAAAGTTCTGTATTTGTGAGGTTTAAGAACACTTGACCCCTAGAGTTTCTCGTGTTTGTGAGTGAGTAATTGACCTTAGCTGAAATTTTAAGTTGAAAATTTAAGAGAATTTGACAATGTCTTTAAACATTAGTAGACTATTTATGAGAACTTAATGTTCTCTTTGTTTACAACTTAGGTTTTTAGATCTGTAAGCCTTCTTTGAAATCCTTGGGAAGGCTTTGTTTCTTAGAGGTATTTGAAGCATTTATAAGAAAATCAAATTTATTAAGTTTCTAAATGCAGTGAAGAATTCTAAGGCAGGGTGATCCAAATGTAATGCAAGCTACATATGTCATTTTAAATTTTCTAGTAGCCATATTTTTAAAAAGTCAAAAGGAATAGGTAAACTTAATTGTAATAATACAATTTATTTAACCCAACTTATCCCAAATATTATCCTTTGACATGTAATTCACATAAAAGTTATTAACGAGATATTTTAAATTCTTTTTTTGAACGCATCTTCAAGATCTGCTGTGTATTTTACCTTTTTTTTTTTTTTTAAAGATTTTATTTTTTTCCTTTTTCTCCCCAAAGCCCCCCAGTACATAGTTGTGTATTTTTCGGTGTGGGTTCTTCTAGTTGTGGCATGTGGGACGCTGCCTCAGCGTGGTCTGATGAGCAGTGCCATGTCCGCGCCCAGGACTCGAACCAACGAAACACTGGGCCGCCTGCAGCGGAGCGCGCGAACTTAACCACTCGGCCACAGGGCCAGCCCCTGTGTATTTTACCTTTCCAACACATCTCAATTTGGACTACCACATTTCTGACACACATTCTAGTAGCTCCTGTGTTGGACGTCAAAGTTCGAAGGGAATTTAATTAACATTTGTAAGTGGTATTTATCATTTAAGGAACTCCCTCCGTTCAACCTGATTCGTTGAAATATTAATCAAAGACCCCTTGAGAGTCATTGTAAAAAATTCCTTGACTTATAAAGAAAATGAGGTGTGTATATTGAACTTACGAGTTAAGAAAAAGATTTTTTAAATTTGTTAATTTAGGAAACTTTTTTTTTTAAGTAACCACAAATAGCTTTATCAGTGCACAGCTGCAGCCCTTAGGACCTTGCCGACCACAGTCCAGATGGAGTTAGAGCCAGCAACCTCGGCGCTGCCCTGGCGGGAAAGGCCTGGTTCTTGGTTACTGCATCGCAGGCAGCCTTTCAGATCAGACAGAGCCCTCGGGGTGGTCTGCCCAAAGCGCCCCGTTCCTCGGACAAGACAACGGACGTCCAGAGCGGGCGAGGAGCGCATGGTGGATTCAAGGTCAGCTCGGACGATGCTCCCGTCTCCCGACCCCAGCCCAGCCTCCCCAGTCAAGGGCTTCTAGTTCCTTCTTTCTGCTTCTTCATCCCCATCAGACAACCAAGGCACAGAACTGCAGAGGAGGTGGACAAACTGGTCGTGGACTCAGACGTCCAGGGAGCACCAGCAGAGAACTGGAAAGCATAGGTCCCTAAGCTTCAGTCTTTGCCCTGGTCCTTCAGTAACACAAACCAAGCCCTGACCAGAGGCCAGCTCAGAGCCCGGGCCAGCAAAGCAGCTGTGTGAGGCCCAGGATGGAAGCCTAGAGCTGGGATGGACAGGGGAGCAGGAGAGGGGAGGCCTGCCCAGCACGGAAGAGCCATGGCCGGGTCTACTGGGCCCAGGAAGGCCCGACTCCACCCGCCTGTGGTCCCGGGGCACCGCCTGGTCACCCCAGCAGGCTTCACACGCAGCCCTCGGCGTGGAGGCCCTGGAGCTTCCTCCTGGCCTCATTCTCCCCGCTCCCTTGTTTCCCCCCCTTGTTTTCCTTTCTTTCCTTTTCTTTTTCTCCTTGGAGGCCCTCATCTCCTTTCCCCATCCTGTTCTGCCCAATGCACCGATTTGGCCCAGGAGAACCCCGCAAACAGATCTGGGTCCCTCTTGCCCTCTCAGGGGGAGCGCCCTGCTGGGGTTTGGGCCGCTGGACCACGGCGGCGAGAAAGAGAGCCGCTCAGGCAGGCCCGGAACAGCCTGGCCCCGTGAGAGGCTGGCTCTGCCTCCACGCCCTTGGCTCCTGGGGGACTTTGGCTCATATTTCTTTCTGCCTGGAACACCCTTCCTGCCAGGCCATATTTCTCAGCGGTCGGACACACACCACCAGGGACCCTCAGGAGGGGTTAAGGAAGCAACATTCACTGCCATTAAATCGCATAGCGAGGAGACATTCTCTGCTCAAAGTGTTTTCAGTCAAGAAGAAAATAACAATGGGGAGCCGGCAGGTCTTTATCACCCCCCTCAGCATCCCGTCCTTGGGAGGGCAGGCCGGGGCTCCCACTCATGGGGCCCTTCCATCCTTTTCCCCTTTTGCTGGCACGTACTAAACACTGGTTTTCACCACTATTTCTTTTCAAGCCTGCGTCTACCTGTTATTTATGGCACAGGATGTCAGTTTTCCATTTGCAAGAGTGACATAAAGTTTCCTTTCAAACTAAACCTGTATTAAGAACAAGTGAGTCAACCAAATATAAATGCAGTTTTGAAAACACGGAGTAGCTAACCGTGCTGGGAGTGGAGTGGGGCGGGGGGGGTGTCAGGGCGCGACGTGAGAACTGAAGTGCAGGGACCCGGGCTCCAGGGCCCTGTCCCTCCACCTTCCTGAGCTCTGTCCAGGCCCTGGGTTCTCCTACCTCCCTTTGGGCACCATCCAAGGTCAGTTCCCCAGCCCCTGGGCTGGCTGAGCGTCGGCTCTAGCCCCGAGGGCACCCAGCATCCAGATTAGCCTCTGGCTCTCATTCCTGCCCAGAGGCCATGGAAGCAGCTCACCAGAAGCCCTGGAAGGGGCAGGAGGACAGGCAGCCTGCCATGCCAGGGGCTGGCCAGCAGAGCTTTCAGCCCCAGACTGAATTCTGAACCTAGGCAGGTGGCGAGGCCTTGTGGAGAACAGAGGGTGGCGGCAATGGGGACAGGGAGAGAAAGAACCTGTCTCTGACCATCTGTCCGTCTCAGCTCAGGCGCAGAAGCTGGCTGAGCTCCAGGTGCTCCTGGAAGAGCCAGAGAGGCAAAGCTGACCCACACGGGGCCGGAGGCACGCGCATCCCTGCTCCGGAGCTAACTGGCTCTCCCTGCACCAGGGTGAGGTCGGAAGGCTCAGAGCACATGCCTCTAGATCCAGGCAGCAAGAAGAGGCGCCCCAGTATAGCTCCCCAATGCTCCCAGTCCTCCTAGCTGGCTCAGATGCCCCTCCTGATGGGGCCTTCCGGGGTCTCCTTCACACCAAACTGAAAGCATTTGGCATCTCCACTGCCAGGTGGACCCAGACTCCCCTGGCCAAGAATTCTGTTTTCAGACCAGCCCCTCCATCCCCCAAATGTGAGGGCCCAACCGCGGCAGAATCTCTTGCATCTCTGGGTGCCCCCCCACCTCCAGCTCCTGCCAGCTTAGACCCTGCCCTCAGCAGGGGCCAACAGCATCTGATGAGCGCAACCCAGTGTCCAGAACTTCTGGCCACCTGATGTCCCAGCCCAGGTCACAAGGGTGCCCTGGCACCCAGGGGGGCTCAGGATGGGGGACAGGTGGCCCTCAAGAGTCTTCCTGTTCATTTGTGCCCTAAACTACTTCAACGGGTTTTTCCCGACCCACCAGTGACCAGCTGTCCTCACTCCCCTTGGCTTCCAGAGTTCTGTTTCAGGTCCAAGCCTGGCAAGCCCAGAACCTCAGCTTTGGGGTTGAAAATACAATCACCCATGGTCCTAATTCTCTGGAAGGTGAGCCATTCCTTCCTGAGAGTTGGCAAGAAATGGGGATGCAGGAGTTCCTGAGCCCATGGGTGGGAGACATCACCATCCTCAGAGCCTGGAAGCCCGTTAGTAAGACACCACGCATCCTGCCCACACCATCTCACCCTCGGGGGTCCTCCTGGCACTGTCCAGGCAGGGCCCCAGCCCCCGAAGATGGTTCCTGTACCCTCCCTGAAACCCAATGGCTGTTGGCACAGCTGGCACCTGCCTGGTACCCGAGTACAGTCTTGGCTAAAAGGCTTCAGAAAGGTGAGCGAGAGAAAAGAACCAGACAGGGGCCCAAGAGAGCACGACCCAGGTCCTCCAGCAGCAGCACAAGAAGCAGGATAAGGGGTTACCTGAGAGGGTTGGCATCAGCCATCCAGCGATCACGAGGAAGAACCACATGTCTGGAGCCATCTCAGACTGCTATGCGTGCCTGCCGGCAGGAAGCAACATCCTAAGGCCAGGAGGTGGGCACGGCCGCAGAGTGCCCCCCGCGCCCGCTCTGCTCTTTGCTGCTCCTGTTTGTATCTTTCCCTCCGCTGCTCTCTCTTGCACGCATGCGACCAACCCCAGCCTGCGAGTGTCTCTCACGCCTCTGTGCTCGACTTGTGGTTTTGGTCTCCAGGAAGTCAGGTTGGTATTATGGGGGCTGCTGGGGAGATCCAAGCTGCCTCTGCCACAAGCCCCCCAGGCCTGGCTTAACCCCAAGGGTCACGGAGCAAGACACACGCGTACACACTCAAGGGTCTCCTAAGAAAAAGGAAAGCGGAAGGGACACATCTCGTTTCTAGATACCTGGCACAAAGTACATACTCAATTAATACATGTTTGCCGAGTGAATGAGTGACCCACGGTCTGTCCTGCTCCGTGGAATCCTGGGATTAACTCCCAAGGTCTACCTGGTCCTTGGGTGCAATGATGGGTGGGAAGAAGGAGGGCACGGTCGTCTACTTTTGAGAGGGAAGAGCCTTGGGCAGGGCCTGAGTGATGGTTTGTCCCTCACCTCCTTCTACAGGCTGGAGCCGTCCCCTGAGGTGGCACGGGAGGGTCCAGAGCCCTCCACCTCTGGGTCCCAGGCTGGGTCTAGACGGATGAGCAGCCCTGCAGCAGATGCTGATGGCAGGAGGCCTGGACCAGAAAGAGCAGCAGGAGCGAGGGGAAGAGGCAGGAAGCCCGGGGCTTCTCGGGAGATGCTGAGTTGTCCAGCTGGACTGCAGAGGACACTGTGGGAAGGAGGCAGGGACCAAGTGTGTTTCATTGACCAAAGGACTCCCTGCAGGGCCTCCAGTCGATGCTGAACAAATGTTGTTGACTGAACGAAGGAATAGTTCATTTAATGTGGTTGTGTAAGCAAAACCCTTGAAGAAATTGAGTCCAGAGGAGACTGGTTCCGTCCTGGTCCTTCCCCATATGACCCCATCTCAGATTCCCCTGCCCTGGCCTGACACTTCCTTCATCCCACTTGTCTTCATTTCCCCACCTGGGGAATGGGGAGGATGCCTCCGCTGGGTCCCAGTCCCAAGCGGGTATTTGATGTCGTAGGTTTGGGAGCCACAGGGAGCCAGGCCTCTCCCACCGTGAAACCCGCCCAGCCCTAAGGGGTGGATGGGGCTCTGGCACCAGCTGAGGCTGCCCTCTTGTGGAAGGTCGCCGGTAGCACAGGTGGCGCACGGGTACCTCCAGCTCCCACATTCAGTTCCATTCAAATGACACTTAAGAGACTTCGGTAGGGGGAATTCTGGAATGGGCTCAGTGGAAGGCGAGGAGAGGAAGCCACATTCCTTTCCTCAAGGAGCGTGTAGTCACAAACACAGGAACCAAGCCACAGGCCAGGGTAAGATGAACTCGGTGAGAGGTCTCCTGCAGATGAGCGGTGTCCTAAGGGACACATGTCTGAACGGGCCAGGAAGGATGGCTAGACTTCTGTTTCTGGCCATATGGCAGATGGTATATGCTGAAAGTTCCCTTAAAACAGAATAGCAAAAAAAAACGTCTGGATAAAAATATTCTAAGACATCCTAGAGCCAGCCTTGATGGCCCAGCGGTTAAAGTTTAGCACGCTCCACTTCAGCGGCTCAGGTTCAGTTCCCCAGTGTGGAACCACATCACTCATCTGTCAGTAGCCATGCTGTGGCAGCAGCTCACATAGAAGAACTAGAAGGACTTAAAACTATACACAACCATGTATTGGGGCTTTGGGAGGGAGCACAAAGGAGGAAGATTGGCAACAGATGTTAGCAAAGGGTGAATCTTCCCCTGCAAAAAAAAAAAAAAAAAATCTTTAGAAATGCATGGCTGGGGTGGCAAGAAACTAAGGATAATTATCAGCGGCCAAAATGACAAGAAAGGCAAATCCAAAAAGAGAATTGAGACCAGAAACAGAGGTTTCCCTGAGGTACCTGCCAACCCCAGGTGGTCAAGGACTTCAGTTTAAGGGGGCGCTGACAAAACCTAAAGCCAGAGCAAAGTGAAAAAAAATCAGAAATCGCCCACCTAAAGCAAAAGAATGAAAAACAACCCCCACAACATATGAACAAGCAGAGGAAAACCTCTCAAAGGGAGGGGACCCAGAACTTGCTGGACTCAGCATTGACTCAGAGTGGAAGACAAAGGAAAGTCAATCCTGAATGCTCCGAACCACAAATCAGCCCAGAAATGGCTCTGCAGGTGGAATTCACAGTAGCTGCGTAGCAAAAATGACAAACACAAAAACGACAGGAGAATTTAAAGAAAAATAGATAGGAATGCCCTAGGCACTCAGCAGAGACGAATGCAAAAGTCCTCTCTGGGGTATCTCGCCATAAACTCAGGCCTTAAAGAATTCCCATAGAAAAAGTTGCCAGGAACGTGAGCTCCCATGCCAAAAAAAAAAGAAAAAAAGAAAAATCATGAAACATAGGACACAATTTATTAGTCAGGATTCTCCAGAGAAATCGAGTTAATAGGAAGTATATAAGAGATTTATGATAAGGAATTGGCTCACATCATTTTGGAGGCTAAGAAGTCCCAAGATGTCAGTGAGCAAGCTACAGACTCAGGAGAGCTGGGGTGTAGTTCCGGTCTAAGTCCGAAGGCCTGAGACCCAGGAGAGCCACTGGTCTAAGTTCTAGTTCGAGTCCAAGACCAAAGACAGGAGAAGAGCAGTGTCCCAGCTCGAAGACGGGCAGAGAGAGACAGTTGTCTCTTGCTCAGCCTTTTATTCCATTGAGGCCTTCAGTGGATTGGACGAGGCCCCCCTCCCCCACTGGGGAACATAATCTGCTTTACAGATTCAAATGCTAATCTTATCTAGAAACATCCACACAGAAGTACCCAGAATAACATTTCACCAAATATCTGGGCACCCTACGACCCAGTCAAGTTGACACATACCATTCACCATCACAACAAAGCACTTTAAGGAACAATTGCACAGAGCAGTACCCAGGAGACTCACACCCTGAAAAACTAGATATTGGCAGCCAGCTGGGTGGCATAGTGGTTAAGTTCACGTGCTCCGCTTTCGTGGCCTGAGGTTCACGGTTTGGATCCCAGGCACGGACCTACACACCACTCGTCAAGCCATGCTGTGGCAGCATCCCACACAGCACAACCAGAAGGACCCACAACTAGAATATACAACTATGTACTGGGGGCTTTGGGGAGAAGAAGAAAAAGAAGGAGAAGAAGAAGAAGAAGAAAAAAGATTGGCAACAGATGTTAGCTCAGGGCCAGTGAAAAAAGAACGAAAGACAGAACCAGAAAACAATAACAAATGAATAGGTAAAGAGTAATCAGAGTCAGAGAGGTCTATTATTTGTTAGGAGCACAAAATATTGACGAACTCTCAGCTTTGTTAAATTAAATGTGCATGTTAAACTAGCAGAGCGATGCAATGGAATGAGGGGGAAACTCGCTATAAAGCTAAGAAAGGAAAGGAAA